CAAACTGATCCGATTACGTGAAATTATTCCAAGATAATAATCTACAATATAAAAATACTTTACATGAATATACAAAAATTCTACATTGTCAAATATAAATTAAATTAGGTTAAGCTACTTATTGTTATTGCATAAATTTATAATCCAATCTTTAGCCCAGAAATTCAAAGTGATTACAATTATGCATATTATACACCTAATTATCTTCAAATCACCACGCAGTGTGCTTTAAACCACGTTAATTCAAAGTTAATTAAAATCCAAGATAATCACAATACTCAATTTCCAAAATACCACAAAATTCTACATTTTTTCCAATTTTCCTCCATTCGTGAATTTAATTACCATCGAAGGTGAAATAACCCCCACAAAATACGCTAAATTATACCAGAATGGAGACCAAACAAACGATCCGACAAAAAGTTTCAAAGTTCTCGACAGAAAACTTCCAACCAGGAAGCGTAAGAAAGAATCGCCTTTTTGTTCCTGGACACCTTTCAATATCGCGGCCATGATCTGTTACTTTGTAACAGACACACCTGATGTCGCTCGTTTTTGCTTCCGTCACTTCCGCGCCATTCGATGTCTCACTCGAGGCGTTGCTGCATCTCGATCCTCCTGTTATTCCCGAGCACAGAGCCAGCTAGCCTTTCATGAGGCCACGCTCATTATCAATGCATATTCGCGGGGACGTTTACCGTGCCTTTTACCGGAACTGATACTTTCTGGACAATAATGAACGCACGGAGAAAAAGGTGATCAATGCACCCGTTAATCAAACATCTTCGATCGTAGAATCGAGACAATTCGTACATATCCTTCACCAGGAACATACTTTCATATTTCGACAAGCTTTTTTACATAAACAAATCACCTTTCTCTTGTTATTTTTGCTTCGGCCAATTTCTGTGCATTCCTACGAATAATCGTTACACAAATGACCTTTGCGTATGTTGAAACTGTAACTATACCTTCGAATTGGACGAATTATTTTAGAAACGATATATATCACATTTTTGACAGTTTTGAGGAATTCTTTTCAGAATTAACTTGCCAGACTTGGAACGTATATGTTTCACTGATTTTTAGAGCAGGAATTATTTCATCGAAACTGTTTTTATAGTCTATTTTAAAAGCTGGAAAATGTCGGATATATGTTAGACACATATCTTCATTTTCTTGTCAGAACAATGTAGAAACCTTCAATTTTTCCACTGATTTTTAGGACGGAAATTGTTAGATTGAAACAGTTCTTATTTTTCCTCTCAGAAGCTGGAAAATGTCAGATACGTATCTTCATTTTCTTGCCAGAATAATGTAGAAACCTTCAATTTTTCCACGGATTTTTAGGATATGAATTGTTGACTTGAAACAGTCTCCGTTATTTTTCTCAAAATTTATAAAATGCCACTTACTTACGATTTGAATTAAAATACTTCAAATCACACAAACTCACGTGTCTTCCACGAATAAAGCCATCACTAATTAAATCATCGCAGAGCTCAACTGACCGCCTCTGAAAACGCTCTAAGATTCGTCGTTCGAACCCCAAAACTCCGACCAATCGTCTGCGCCAATCCCCTGGCCAAGAGATTTGACCCGACCTGACGTTGAAAAAGAAATTGCTGTCGCGTTTCCTGATCGCGAGGGCACGCGTGACATTGCAAAAAAAAGGAAGAGAAAAAGAAATATCGAGTTTGATTTACGCGTCTAGGATACGCGATACGACTTAGCAAGAACCAGTGTTACGGATAAAACGACAGATAGTAAACAGGGTAAAAAATGATGGAGCGAGAGACGCGATCTAGAAGTGCTTAGGGAACTGTGTGCGTGTCCCGCGACGCGGAATCGGTTTGTTTTCAACGATTGCGGTTACATCACGGCCCGAAGGGATCGAATGGAGCGGTGGCAGAAAAATGGGACAGAGAGTACCCCGACAGGGGCGTGAACAATCGTCGATTCAGTGAAAGTGATCGTTGCTCCATAGTTGTATAAAACCGGGACGTGGACTACAGGATGGCACATTCAAAGTTCTGAAATCGGAAGACAAGCGACAATGAGGACCTTTGTAGTAAGTATATACCTCCGTTGGATATCAGAAGTGCGTTCGATCGAACTTAAGCGAATAATAAGATGGGTCAACGAACCCTCGTACGCTGATTTCAGTGAAATTTTTGCAAATTTTCGATACATATATTTTTTTATTGATAATCGTTCGCGTTGAAGTGGTGAAAACAACCCTTAACTGTAATATCTGGACAATTTTTTTGATATTTTTTTAAATTTTATGTGACACTTTTAATATTCAATATTTTTTAATGTTTTTAATATTTACGACAATAATATTTTGATTTTTCTGTTTCTATATGATAAAGGTTCTAAGGAACTTCATTTATTTAAATATGTCACAAATGAAAATTTTCTTGATAAATTTTCTTGAAAAATGTTAATCTGTTTTTGTGTAATTTTGTGTGTAGAAACATCTTCTGATTTTAGACCTCGTAGTAATAATTATTACATATTTAATTTATATATGGTTTAAACAAATGGTTAGTTCTTCCTTCAAAGATTCCTAAAGTATTAAAAAAATATATCTTTCATTCCTTCAACGATAACACGTCGAATACCTCTTCAAGGACAGTAGATCACATGAAGAATTTAATAAATCAGGCCTACATTTACTTCTAAACAATCGCCAATTCCGTCAAAGGCCGTTGTAGATTGAAGCAATCGATACTTCAACCTAACTTCAACGCTCTTGAATTATAAAACAACAGCTCTCCATGCCTTACAAGCACCTTCAACAAAGAGCAACGTTTACCTGTGTTCAATTATTCACACAACTTTTCACGAGAATCGTATATTGTAGCTAAAATCAATCTCTGAATTCCACAAACAATAAAACAGCTCTGCCTATTGGTGACCGTTGCCCTCGCGTCCGAGCAAGGGAAGCAGGAGAAGACGAAGAGAGGAGTGCTGTTGGGCTCAGGAGGACTTGGAGGATCGTCAGGTGGTCTAGATCTCAGCTCCAGTTCGAATTATGGCGGTGGTCTGGACTCCGGTGGACTTTCTGGAGGATTCTCCAGCGGTGGTCTCTCCGGAGGACTCTCGGGAGGACTATCAGGACTTGGCGGTGGCCACAGTCTAGGTGGTGGTCTTGGTGAAGGTCTTTCAGGAGGCCTAGGTGGAGGACTCTCTGGAGGCCTAGGTGGAGGACTCTCTGGAGGAGGTGTCCGAACCATCACTCAACAGGTCCCAGTAGTGATCCCCCAGCCGTATCCTGTTTCTAGGCCTGTGCCAGTTCCCTACTACGTCAGACAGGCGGTTCCTCTGATCAAGGAGGTGCCTGTCCGCGTGCCTCATCCTGTCCCAGTCACAGTCGAGAAACCAATAGTGATTCCTCAAACGGTAAGAGTGCCAGTGCCAGTTCCAGTGCCTCAGCCTGTCTCTGTTCCACAACCTATCCCCGTTCCTCAGCCTATACCGATACCTCAGCCTGTGCCTGTCTTGATCCGTGTTCCCTCAGGAGGCTCTGGTGGATCTGGTTTAGGTTCTGGCCTCGGCTCTGGTGGTCTCAGCTCTGGTGGTCTTGGCTCTGGTAGCCTCAGCTCTGGTCTGAGCTCAGGATTCGGCTCAGGAATCAGTGGTAGTTTGGGTGGTAGCCTAAGTGGTGGCCTCAGCGGAGGTTTAAGCTCTGGTCTGAGCTCTGGACTAAGTTCTGGACATAGTTCTGGACTTAGTTCTGGATTAAGCTCCGGTCTAAGTTCTGCATTGAGCTCTGGATTGAGCTCTGGACTGAGCTCTGGTCTCAGTTCTGGCTTGGGATCTAGTTATGGGTCTGGATTGAGCTATGGATCAGGAGGTCTAGGAGGCTCTAGCTATGGCTCTGGTTTGAGTTTGGGATCCAGCCTTGGTTCCTCTGGTCTGACTTCTGGATATGGGGCAGGATTGAGTTCTGGATATGGATCTGGCCTGAACTCTGGCTTGGCAGGTGGGATTACCTCTGTCAGCATCTCATCTGGCTCTGGACTGGGCTCTGGCTTGAGCTCTGGGCTTGGATCTAGTCTTGGTTCCCACGGACTATCATCTAGCTTGGGCTCTGGATACGGATCTGGATATGGATATTCTTCGTCCTCTCTTGGAGGCTCTTCTCTTGGAAGTTCATCACTTGGAGGCTCCTCTCTTGGAGGTGGCCTTGGAGGCTCTTCTCTTGGAGGTGGCCTTGGAGGTAGCACGATCATCATAAAGAAGCACTGAATAGATCAAAGAATGTTGGAACGAATTTTGTACAGTTGACTATAATCATGTAAATCCTTTCTTAATGTCTGCGATAGACACAATGTTTTATACACTTTGATAAAATTATATTTTTATACGATAACTTTTATTGTTGCTTCATGTTATTTCAATTAACGAGAGTGTATGGTGCGTTTTTTAGGGAGTTTTTCTACCTAAACGTCACTCTAAAGACTCGAAAGTCTTTTCTTAAAGGTTTCTGGATTGTGATAAAATGCTTTAGGTACTTATTTTAGACATTTAAGGCTGCCGAATCATTGAAAATAATTTTTCGATGTTTTTAAACTGCCAAACTCAGCTATCTCTTTAAATTAATATCACTGTGAGCATCAATAATCATGCTACAGTAGTGTGGGTACGAAGTGCATGCTGGAAACTGGGCGGGGGTGGACTATATTAAAACACCGGTGCATACACGAACAATGGTAGTTCTTCAAGCCGATTGGTCAACATGGAGCCCATGTGGGGTGGATTACGTCAGCGAAGATCTCTTCACGTCACGTGAACCACATCCCGAGCTATCATACGAATCAGGTCATGACTTCAATATTCTGTTTCGCCCCTCTGTGAAAGGAGGACAGAAATCAAAACTCAAGGGTGAATATGTTCAGTCGATATATTTCCTTGATGGTAATTCCATCTGTTGGAACGTGAATCCAAAATACAATCGATCTCTGAATTACAAATACCACCTTCTGTTATTTAAAATAGCTTCAGTGGGTTATTGTACTGCCAGTAGATGTTTATTACTTGCAGTAGATAAAGTAGAAAACTACGTGTCAGTAGATGGTCAATAATATCGTAACTGCAGTAGGTTCTGCTGTTTCCTGAATAACCTACACAAGGTACAGGAACATATTTGTTTCCTACTTAACCGACATCTTGCTATTCAACTTTACAATTTTTTCACACCATTAAGAAATAAAACTACAAACATTCAATATTTTCATGCAAATTACAAGTTTCTAACTTACGAATCTCCAAGTACTCGATAGTAACCACAATTCACACTCACCTGAAACAAAAAGGAGAAAATCGTCGGTAATTTATCATACGGATCAGGAAAAAGAATAAAGTAGATCAAATTAAACCGAGACCACGTGAAATATTATCGTCTCATGAGGCAACTGTTTAGAGGGGATTTTTCCGGCTTTTTAACTGACGAAGAAAAACGACCGGTTGGTACACCTGCTCCCCCGGAATATAACGAAACTACATAACATCGTGCGCATAAAGTCGCGTAATCTCCTTTTTTTCTGCCCGTTGCCGCGTTAATTACTGCAAAAAGCGGCGTTGTTCCCTCGTGGAAAGTTCTCGTTACTAATATTAAGGGGAGGCAGGGTCTTTACGAGCCGAGAGCGGAACGGTGTAATTCTTTTTCAAGCCGGAAGGTTTTACCCGGGCTTAATAATGCAGAGCCGCCTGCTGATTAAGAAAGTTTTTGAAAATAAGCAGGAAACGGCGAAACGTATGGAAAAAGGATGTTCCACGCCCACGCTAACGAGGTAAACGACGCGGTAATGAAACTGCTGATGGAATTTTTCAACTCCTCCCCCGTTTTTTCCTATTTTCGTCAACAATATTTCCTGAAAACGATTTTTTTTAGATAAAACCAACAGTAAAGCGTGCAATGAAACGAGAACGGAGCGATGTTAATTCATGGAATTCGTAGAACTGGAATTAGCAAGAAACGGGTATAAGTAGAATAAGTAGAAGCAGACCGTGCTCGGTCAGACATAAGAGTATATAACACTGTAAACTTTTTTTCTATTTATGTCATCTTTCTTATTGCTTTCAGTGGTTATTATTTCGGTTAATAAATTCGATAAGGTGTACCGATTAGTACGAAAAGTGTGAGGTTATGTCAATTTCCTTCTTAACCTAAAAATCGAGTTTGTAAGATTTTATATTAGTGAAAAATTCAATAAACAAAATATGCATTTTATCGAATATTATTTAGTTTAACATATACCACAAAACGTAAATAAAATTTATTTTAAATAAATTGGGAACTTTATACGTTATTCATTTTGTGTGTAAAAGTACTAATAAAATATGCATCAGATATATTACGTTGTCGAAGCATTTACGACTGAAATGTACCGACGTCAAATTTCACGTTCTTCGTAAACCAACCTTAAAAAATTGTTTCCACTTAATTCAGCGGAATGTGAATGAAATAAATATTGCAAAAATATCGAAATAACTTATTCACCAGGAAATGTGAAAATGCAAGAAGCTAAATGTTTCTTTGGAATTTTTTACGAGCTTGCCATCGTTCTTTTTTTCGCGTAAACAGCTTAGTAAAAAATGTAACAGGGGAAACAGCGTCGTCGAAGCATTTACGGCCGAACTTTATTGTCAGGAAGCTTTACTTCCACACGGGCGAACAGTAAAGTCCGCCGCTGTAAGTATCGGTCGATGGGTTTGCATATTTTATGCTCAGTTACGGTTGCAAAAACCGAATGTATAAACGGTGCATAAATTTGTAGCGCAGTATTGACTTTCTGATCTTCGCCCGACTTCCTGCAGACTGAATAAACTTGGCGACCACGGTTAACTCGATTTTTCATTTTTATTTTTGAGACCACCAGCCGCGTTATAGCGGCAATAATATCTTCGACTGATAATATCGGTCGATAGTAAAAATTCCTAAAAAGCAATTTCGTGTCTGCAGATACACACACTTCCATCAGACTGTCGTCAGAAAAATAAAGAGTTGTCAATTGAAGCTACAACGAAGGTTTAACCCTTTGTAACGTGTAGAATGTTTCCTTAATTTTTCTGATTTTCTCGACTCTCGTTCGACAGTCAATATTTAAAAAAGAATTTCAT